TACCTCCTGAAGCTTCTCTCCCCACCCCACCCCACAAAACCCCACCCCCTAACCCCTTCTTGTTCGAGTTTGAAAATAAGCAGGACACATCAGAGGCATGAATTTGGAAAAGGGCATATTCAGAGATTGAAATCCTGGGCCCTTAGTGTGATTTCAATCAGGCTAGAGCTGACTACACAACATCTCAAAATTGTATGCTTGTTGAGCCCCAAGGCTAAACACAGCCGTCCTTATAATTTGGGTACACTGAGTTATGGCCTAGCAGATGCACCCCATTATTAAGTATGAACTCATCTGCTGTATGGAGGAAACACCCACATTTCTCCCATGGGGTTAGATAGGCAAATCAGCACTTAAATTTTTTTTTGTTTTGGTGGGGCCGCTGGTGGGGCCCAGACAGGGTTTCTCTGTGGCTTTGGAGGCTGTCCTGGAACTAGCTCTTGTAGACCAGGCTGGTCTCGAACTCACAGAGATCCACCTGCCTCTGCCTCCCTAGTGCTGGGATCAAAGGCATGAGCCACCGCCCCCCCCACCCCAGCGGCTCTTGAGTTTTAAAGATCTTGATGTGCATGTGTGAACCAAGATGACTTCGTGTGCAACCATATGTGTGCAAAAGCCATATGTGTGAATAAGGCGTTGGAGCCCCTGGAACTGGAGTTACAGGCGGGTATGAGCTATCATGTGGGTTTTGGGAACTTAACTCGGGACCTCTTCAAAAGCAGTAAGCTCTCAGCCACTGAGCCACACCTCCTCAGCTTCAACAATTGAGTGTCTGTTAGGCTATATAGCTCAGAATCTTACACTCAAAAATCATGGACTCTAAATACCTTGGTTTTTCTACCAGAACCGCAGAATATATGCCAGTTAAACCATACCATGCGATGATCCGAATCAAGGAAACGGGCCATATTTTGCAAGTGGACCTTTCCCTTAAAGACACTGCCACCATCTTTAACCTTTGAGTTAAGCATCTCCCCTCTAGAAAATTGTGCCTCTAAGTACTAACAAGAAGGAAATGCTATACAATCAAGACTAAACTCCAATTTAAATGCTGAAAATTTAAGGCATTATGTGCAAGAATTCTGAGACAAGTGTGCACTTTTTGACATGTCATTTTGTAGACTCTGGGAAAACTAAAAATTCGTGGTCAGTCCTATTTTTCACAGATTAGTTAAATTAGTATTTACTGAATTTTAAGCCTTATACTTTATAGGCTAAGGCGCTTGTTTGGTTGTTTATTTGTTTTCAATATGACACATTCTTTCCAGTTGCTATAATTTTATAGTTTACAGAGTAGTAGGTTTCCTTATGGCATTTTCATAATACTTAATTTTGGTTATCCCTCCTCCACCCCTGCCTCTCTCAATCTCCCAGCTCCAAACCCCACTTAAACCCTTCTCCAGTATCCTTCCATCCTTACTAAATGTGTCCTTGCCCACCCCTTACCCTTGATAAAGCTTCCTCTGCTCCTCATGGACCCCCCTTTTAGTTTCCTGGTGTCTACACACTCATGCATGTATACACCAAAGACCAAAATCTGAATGTGAGAGAGAACATAGGATGTTTGTTTTTTGAAGCCTCAATATTTTTCAGTTCTATCAGTTTTCCTAAAAGGTTTTATTTTTTTCTGCATGGCTGAGTAAAATTCCAATATATATATATGTATATATATATATATATATATATATATATATATATCACGAGCTCTATTTTCATTACTCATCTGTTGATGGTCATCTTAGGCTGATTTCATTTCCTAGTTCTGAATAGAGTTATGGTAAACATGGCTGATCGAGCATCTCTAGTGGGATATAGACTTCTCAGGGTGTATGCTTGAGTGGTGTAGCTGGGATGTACAGTAGTGCTAATTTGCAGCTTTTTTAGAAACAGTGACTGACATAATAGCTCTATCTGTTTACACTCCCACCAACCCTAACACGGGCTTCTCTTTTCCTTCACCCTAGCCAGCATTTCTTGTTGATAGTCATTCTGACGGGGGAGATGGAATCTCAAATTAGTTTTAATTAGCATTCTTTAGTCACTAAGGATGTTGAAGACTTTTGAAAATATTTATTGGCTATTTGTATTTCTTCTTTTGAGAATTCTATTCATTTCCCTGGCCTGTTTTTTTTTTTTTAACTTATTTTTTTCCAATACAGGGTTTCTCTGAATGGCCCTTGCTGTTCTGGAACTCACCCTGTAAACCAGGCTGGCCTTGAACTCACAGAGATCCGCCTACCTCTGCCTCCTAAGTGCTGGAATTAAAAGTGTGCACCACCACCACCTGACTTTTTTTTTTCATTTTAAATTAAAATACAATTACATCACTTCCCCCTTTCCTCCCTCCAACTCCTCCCATGTCTCCCACAAGACCCTCTCAAATTGATGGCCTCTTTTTCTTTAATTATTTGTAACATAAAAAAACTTCAGTGACAGATATAGGGGTTCAACCTGAAGATCAGGGAAGCAAGTAGCCAAGTTACCAGAGAACTCTTAAGTGGGCTGGGGCATTCCTATTCTCAATGTGGCTGGAGAATGAATGCCTGATACTGAGACCTTGCTCCTGTCTTATATACCTCTCATGAGCCCCGGGATTAAAGGTATGAGCAATAATTCTCTTTTAGACGGATTCAGTCTTGTAAAGATCTGGGTGTCCTCAGGCTCACAGATCCACCTATCTCTTAATCCTGAGTCCTAGAATTAAAGGTGAGTAACACCACCTCCTAGCTTCTGACTGCTGGGATTAAAGGTGTGTGCCTAGCTTCTATGGCTTATGGCTGACTTTGCTTTCTGAATCCTCAGGCAAGCTTTAATAAATCATAAATAATATATCATCATAGTCATTAATTGCTATATATATGCATAAACATACATATATGCATAAACATATAAAAATAAAAATACAACCTTCGGAGTCCCTTTAGTATTGCTTGTGCACATATGATTTCAGGGCTGACCATTTTGGATAAACAATTAGGGAGCTCATACCAACGAGAGACTGATTACCTCTCTCAACAGTCATTAGGTGCCTGGAGTTCTTTGTCTAGGGGTGGTGATCCATGATTTCTTTTTCTTTGTTAGCATGCTTATTGGTGGTGTCATTGTTCAGGTCTGTGTAGGCAGCCATGATGTTGAGGTGTCATGGATGTACCTCTCCTGTCATTTCTAGGAGACCCCATCTCACAACTGCTTTCCCGGTCACCTGGCTCTTACAATCTTTCTGCCCACCTCTTCTGCAGTGTTCTCTGACCTTTAGGTGCAGGTGTTGTGTTGTAGATGTATCCACTGGGACTCCCCGTGATCAGTCGATCACAGTATCATGACCAGTTGTGGTTTTCTGCAATGTTCTTCTTTTGCTGCAAGAGAAGCTATTTTTTGCTGTAGGGGTAAAAGTTATACTTTATCTATGGGCTTAAGTTTTAGAATGCAGTTAGGAATTATGCCAGTCTCATAAAGTGATGGCAGTGAGTTCTCCTTTAAGATTCATGACCTCACTAGCCTCAGATAGTTGGCAAGGTTTCTAGTACCAGACATTATTTCTCTTTTGTTGAGTGGGCTTTACTTCCAACTAGACAGCCCGGGTTACCACCATGATATGAGTACCACTGTTCCTTCAGCAGGGATATCTTGCTAGGCTGCTAGTTGAGTTTCATAGGCATCACAGCTGGATAGCATTATTGATTGCACCTTCCCCCTTGGCATCTTAAATAGTACTTTCTGTTCTATGGAAGCTAGACAGAAGCAATCTTCTGGGTCTTGTGTCCCAGTTTGTAGTGCAATAAGTTCAGCAATAAGAACTTAACTTCGACCTCTGAGAGGCAACCAAGGGCAACAGCAATGGCCTATGTTGTATTGGAG